TGACATTTGAATATAGAATGTGGATTAGAGGATACCTATCAACACTGAATTATCTGATTTCCATAAATTTATGGCAGTTATGTAAAAAATGSTCTTAGGAAATATATATTAAATCATTTTTATATAAAGAGGTATGATGTCTGCAAATTACTTGAAACTGATATAGAAAAAGAAAAGTGTGTAATATGGGGGAGGGGCAGAGARAATAAGGGGAAATGATGAAGCAAGTAGGGTAAAATTTCTTGGAACTATTCTTGCAAGCTTTCYGTAAATGCAAAGTTAAATCAAAATAGAATGTTGAAGAAATATTAGACTTTAAGACCTAAAACCCCCATGTCCTTGTCCTGGATTCTGCCAGCCTTCAGCTCACAAAAGGAAGTCTTTGTCTTGGGCCATTCTGAGGTTCTTTATTCAGAGAGCAAAGGTCTGAGTAGGGTTGTTCTGGAGAGCATCTCTAGGCTAATTCTAGATGATTTCAAGTTGTGGTAATTGTCCCCYAACCCTCGAAACAGAAACGTTGTGAATCCATTAAGAAAGATTCAAGAACACACGTGTTTCTCAAACTGAGTTTTAGTTCTTCTTTAATGACACAAAATATGCTAATGTCCTATGAGCTAGTGTCTCTGCCCTCTTCAGCACACTGTTTCTTTTGTGGAAGCTTGCTGTGTGCCGTGCTGTTTTCAGCATGCTCACCAGCAAGGCTGGGACTTGAACCCAAGGCTGACTGTCTCCAGCACCTGTGCTTATAACCACAGTGCAGTATAGCCATGTCACCCACAGCCATCATCAGAACCAACTATTGCTCTATGGAGAGATGAATCAATACAAACCAAAACAAGGTGGATGGTCTGGTTGTTGAGGGTGGAGATCTATGTGGTCACCTGGCCAGGAGGACCTGGTGCAAAGGTTCTGGAGGCAGTCTTACCAGAGCCAGCAGGCTTCCCAAAACTACTCACCATAGTCCTACACTGACCAGTTCAGGACAAGACAACTGGTCGACCTCAGATTTTGGGAAAGGACTTCTGATTGACCACCCAGGGAGAGAGGAAGAGAGGAGAAGAGGCCCTCTAGACCTAATAGTCATACACTGATCAGCTCAGGACAGGACAACTAGTTGACCTCAGCTTTTTGGAAAAGGACAACTGGTAGTTCATCCTGGAGGYGAGGGGAGAGATGGGGATAGAGAGAAAGAGAGAGAGAGAGAGGAAAAAGAGAGAGAAACTTCCCCTTACAGCAAGTAGGCCCACAGCCATGACTGCCAGGAACTCTTCTAAGACATCGAAGAGCAGAAATGGTGACTTTCAAATGCAAAAGGAAAAATAAATACCCTAYCAACCTGTTGATCCTACTCTATTTTGCAAGACAGAAGTTATTGCTTTCAAATCAAACTAAAAATTATTTCCTAAGTTGTGGGTGACTTTTTCTTACTGGAAAAAGACTGCATAAGAAAAGCATTTCGGCTCCCTTTGCCTCTTACACTTTGTAACTATGAACAAGTCAATAAACAAAAACAAAAAGAGGGAACAGTTTTTTGAAAAACCTCTAAATAAATCAGAAGATTAAATTTTGAAAATCTATAAAAAGAAGATAGTTTTAAAACACTTATAATCCACATTGTACATGATAAATTTTCTACAATGCTCTGTTGAACTTTTCAATTCCAAATCTTTCAGATCTGATAGTTATCATTTTTCTCATTAATTTAAGATTAAGATACATTTTAATTAGTCTTTTTTAAACAAAGTCTTAAGGAACTAAGGCTTTTGAGTGGGCTTAAGTGGTGTGCCATGGATAGAGGGCTCTGTTCCGGTAAACGCCACCCAGACATACAGGTTTTCTGCTAGCTCCACATATACAGTGGCTTGTTTTGCATCTGTTCCAACAAGACACAATGAACAGGCAAGGCCACATTCAACAGGCATGTAGGGTCCAGTGAGTCCCCAGGTTTGATTGACAAGTCAAATGTCCTCTTAGCAACTCCCCTGTTAAAGATGTGTCTGCCATGGTGAACATCTGCTGTAAGATGGTTCACCTTATGGATTATGAGAAGGTAGAGTCTGGAAATTCCAGTTATTTTGAATTGTAGAGTATCCTTAGAGTTGCTCTTTGGTAAGGAGCTTCAAAAGAAAAAGAAAAGTAACAAGTAACATCCTGTCACCCTTGTTCACGTGCTTCCCAAAGCTGAAGTTGCCAAAGCTGTGTCAGAATGACCACAGAAGCAATTGATTATTTAGCTCCGTAGGTGGTGGTGGCAGGGATCAGGAAAGGGGAGCATCCTGTCCCAGATGCCTGTCCCTTAACTGCACCCCAAGTACAGTTAAACCTCCTTCATTTCAGTTGACCAGGAAGGACTTCATGGAGATAACTGACTCAGCTCTGACTAGGTGTGTTTCTTAAGTTACCTGCTAATAATACCCTTTCACCTCTTTCATGACAGAAGTGAGAGGATGCTAGACTGAAAAT